CACATTTGGGCGCCCTGACCGATCGCGACCCCCCCCCCGCCCAAACCCAGGGAGGGGGGGAGGAAAACTTCCCCGAAGGGAAGAGGCTGTTGGGAAGAGGAAAGACAGAGTTCGCTAGACCACCTTAGCGCTAAGCAGGGTCTCGGAAATCAACACCAGCACCAAGATTCGGTGGATCAAACAAGAACGGTTCAACATGACTCGGTTTGTGCCCTCCGCGTGCAAGGAATGGGGTCCAGCTCCGATCCCAGGAATGTGCGTGGACCACCCTCTGGGCCATAGAGGACGTTATGCTCCCCCCCTCCCCCTCCCCTTTCCCCCCCCCCCCGATCGTAACGCTCCCCCCGCCCACAAGTGCGTCCCAGCACTGCCATAGTGGGTTCTGCACCACAGTCTGTGGTGCCAGACCCACACGGTGGGGCGGGGGGCGTCACGCTACGCACCCCCAAGCAACACCCCCATCACGCTCGCTGCCGCCGCGAATCATGAATGCCCTGGTATGATTATGTTAAACCCCATATCTTCATACTACTACATGTACACACATAGGTCTGTATATAAATATGTGTATACGGCTCCCTTTTCTCTCCCAGTCTTCAGACCTCCCGAACGGGAAGCCACGACGCCAATGCATCGACAACTGAGCGCGGCCTGGAGCCCGAGTTACGCCATCCCGATGTCGCATATACAAAAACGATGCGGTGCGATTCTCCGACCCCATCTACTCTGGCCACATGCGCAACGCAAAAATAAACGGGGTCGTCTTCGCCAGCGGCGCGCAAGCTGCCCGCGTAAGGTCGCGCGTAAGCTCCCTCGCTTCCGATGTGGCGTCCCGCGCCGGTGGCCCGCGCAAGCCACTGCGTAAGGTCGAAGGTCGCTATGCCATCTCGCGTAAGACCCGTTTGTTTTCGTCGCCCACATGTCAGAGATCACTAGACTCCGTTCCAATCCGCCGTGACAGGTAGCGAATCCTACAGTGGAAACCCATGCCAAGAAACACCCTGCTTGCCTCCAGGGTGCCCTGAGTCCTTGGTTTCCGATGGTTTTGCTAAGGAGCACGCGAACGCGAAGTTCCCACACCAGAAATCGACGTACGTCTTGGGGTTCCAGGGTTGGGTTTCTTGTGGAAGGTTTCTTGTGGTCCCTACTGTTAAGTCGGGCCTGTCCCTCCACAGGAGGAATATTCGAAAACAGTCGAAAAATAGTCTGGGGACGATGTTTAATAATCTTCTGATTGCTTTGACGTTTTCAGGCTAATTTAAAACTTTGTCATCCAAAATCCGCCTGTAGGGGGACACGCCCGACCTCAGCCTACTCCATGTGCCACTGCGGATCCAATCGCCCACTTGGGCAGCGGACAACCCCCGTCGGGGCCCACTTTGTTGCAGACGTCCTGCGCTCCGGAGGCCCCACCTGCAGGACCACCGCCGGCACGAGGGTCCATACCGGCCCTAGCCGTAAGTCGGGCTTGCCCCTCTACAGGAGGAATATTCAAAAATTGTTCAAACATTGTCCAGGGACGATTTCTCTATTATTTCGGACTATGTTTGAATATGTTTGAATATGTTTGGATTCTTTTCATTTTTCTTCCAAAATCCCCCTGTAGGAAGACATGCCCGACCTAACCCTAGCCTTTGCAGGGTACCCGTGTGTTCTTCGTTTTTAGGCCCTCCACCTTTGATTGCTCTTCGTCTTGGGAGATGTCTCCATGCGGCCTTTGGCATACGTCGAAGAGGCTCCTGTTCTTGCCCTGCGTTCTTGCGGCCGTGTTTTGATTGTCGGGTTCACACCTGTGAATGCCCGACTCCTGCCTGCTCCCCCGCCTCCCCGATCTGGAGGCTGGATGCGTCTCGAGCGTGACGCGACCCTTGTCGGCCGCCGCTGTCTCAGCAGTCCATCCTCCAATCCTCGCGTGTACAGTGGAGACCCGTGCCAACAAGCACTCTGCTTGCCTCCAGGATGCCCTGGGCTTCTTGGGTTGTTGCTAGGGAAAGCGTCGCGACGTTCCCTCACCAAAAATCCATGGACGCCCTGGGGTCTCGGGGTTGGGTTTCTTGTGGAAGGTCTCTTGTGGTCGGGCCCCTACTGTGCTCCTCCCTCTCCCCCATTCCTTAGTTGGCCTCCAGCGCCTCCACTGGTCATGCTCGCGGTGAGCCCTGGCTGCATCGGCCCCCTGGTCCATGCCCGGAGGCCAGAGAGGTGTGGGCAGTCGGAGCTCAAGAGACGGGGGTCAATGCAAACGGGGGTCAGCCAGAGCGCCGGATCTTTCAGGATCCTGCAGGGCCAGGGTCGCGTTGACCCAGGCTTGGGCGCAGGATCGTGCAGGATCTTGCAGGATCCTTCGCATCGACCCGGGTTCGGGTGCAGGATTTTGCATAATTCTGCAAGGCCTGACTGACCCGGGTCTGGATTGACCTGGGTCTGAAGATCCGCGTGGCAGGAGGAGGCCGGCGAGAGCTGGAGAGCGAGAGGAGGAGCGGGGGGGGAACCGCGCCCCAAGGCCGGAGACGGCTGGACAGCGACCATCAAGAAGCCTCCGTGCCTGCTCGGCAAGCGGTGGGCGATCCGGCTGGCGTACTGAGCGGCGGCGCTTCGGTGACGGGCCCGCGAGGACGGGAAGGAGCAATAGAGAGCAGGAAGGCTGGAGCAGAATGGGAGGATTGGAATAGAGCAGGAGGAGGAGGGGGAAGGCCTCAGGAGCGAAAGAAGGACGTACACGTACATGAATCCACGCTGGTTTCGAGAGTTCGCATTGCGCGAATGTTCGTATCACGCGGCAGGTCTCGCGGGGCAAGGGGCCGTGCTCATGTACATAGCTGGGCGCGTACGTCCTTTGTGGGCCCCCTAGGAGGCGGGGGGGAGGAACAGAAGGGGGGAAGAAGGGGAAGGGCAGCCAGCAGAAGAATCACCAGTCAGCAGCAGGCCGCTTGTGAGCGACTTCGCAGGGGCTCCCCTCCTGCGCGAGGGGGCCGATGACGTACGTGCACTCAGGGCCACAGTCAGAGCGTTGTAGGTGTCAGGCGATCGCAAACATGGATCAAGGGGGCGTGGATTAGCGAAGGGTCCCGTTTCCATGGAAGATCGCGGATGTCCGCCGCCGAACGAGGCGGCACCGGCCGCATTTTGGGGAGGGCACCTCCCCCGATCCATGGATTTGGCGACCGCGCGCCAAATCCATGGATCGCTGATCCAGGCTTGCGCGCCCCCAAAGGTGATGCTTCTCGCGGGGCGCGTGATTCGGAGTTGATCTGAGCCAGGCTAGTGGAAGGCCTCTAGCCTGTTCGGTCCAGAAGCAGGGCCTCCCCAGCCGAAAGGCCTCAGCCCGTGGTTGACGGCGAATGCGTTCAGCAAGAGGGGGATAGGTACCAGAGTCCTACGCCATTCCGCCGACCCCACTGGCGAGAACGAAGTCCACGGGTGAGCCTCTCTTGGGGACCCTTTGGGGGCACCTTTTTGGCCTCTTGGGCTCTTGGGGGCCGCTTCGGGCCTTCTGGGGCGCCTGCTGGCAGTCTCGGGGGCCCCCCTAGGGCGGAGGGCTTGAAATGTCAGTTCGAGTTACCCCTCTTGGAGCCCTCTTCGGCCATCTTGGGCGACTCATGGGCCGTCTTGGGACCCTCCTGTGCCGTCGTGGGGCCCTCTTGGGTGTTTCTTGGGCCGTCTCGGAGCGGTCTTGGAGGCCTCTCGAGCAGTTTTGGATGCTCTTTAGACTGGAGGGGCAGACATGCTAAAAATAGACCTTTCCCTTCGGATTGGGAAGGTTTTGCATTCTGGGGGGTCCTCTCGGAACCGTCTTGGGGCGTCTTGGCCTCCTTTGCGTGTTGGAGCCCAGCGCGAGCCAGCTCAGATGGCATCTTGGGCATCTTGGCGGCCACGGGGTGCAGATTTAGAGGGTCTGGAGGCCCCGAGGGTGGTGCGTTGGGGAGCTCGAGCCCCGCCCCCCCCCCCCCCCCCCCTGGGGACCCCCCCCCCTTCCTCTGACACGATGTTGGACCCTCGGGGCAGGGGAAAAAGGGCGAGGGGGGACAGCAAAGTGCTCACCGCCCACCAAACCACCCCAACCCAACCAGAAGGCCCCCGATTCGCCCTCCATTTCCTCGGGGGGGGGGGCGGCGAACACTGAGAAAACACATATGGAACCCGTACCCCCCCCCAACCCGAAATTCGCGTCTTCGGGTTGGGTTGGGGTGATCTGGTAGGTAGTCAAGTGTCTCACACGCCTTGTCGCCCCCGACAAGAGCGGGGGAATCGGCCGATTCTCAGAAGAAGCATCCGTTGGCCCACCCGCCCTTTTTTCTGGGGCGTGAGGGGCGTGATCGTGGGGGGCGGTGATCGTGGGGGGCGGTGGGGCCATCGGCGACGGAGAGAATCGGGCGATCGCAAACATGGATCAAGGGGGCGTGGATTAGCGACCAGTCCCTTTGCCATGGGAAATCGCGGATGTCCGCCGCCGAACGAGGCGGCACCGGCCGCATTTTGGGGAGGGCACCTCCCCCGATCCGTGGATTTGGCGACCGCGCGCCAAATCCATGGATCGCTGATCCATGCTCGCTGGTCCATCGTAAAGGAGGTTCGGAGGAGGTTCTTCTCTCACCCGCCCTACTAGGTCGCCAGTCGGGGTGATGTGCACGCCTCGTTCCTGGGAAGTTCTTCCAGGGAAGGCTGGAGCACGAGGACCGAGCCTTCATGAATGATTCGTGTTCTCTCTGCGGCTTTGTTATGGCCACTGTCGGGCCAGGAGCATTCAGAAATGACAACACATTTAGAGAAGAAGCGATCGGATGTACAGGGAAAACGTAAGACTCGAGTGCGCCGGAACCCGGGTTTGCCGACGCTTTTTGACAAGCTCGTCCCGGATGTTGACAATCCAATTGTCGTGGGATGTTTGCAGCGGGACTTCGCGTCAAATTTCAGAGTGGGTCTCGCCATTGTCATGATGGCTTCGTCAGACCAACCCGAGTCCCCCGAACCCGAGTCCTACGTCTCTCCGAAAGCTTACCCGTCGGTCGTTCAAAGCAGGTATCTCTGGACTGCCATCCCAATCTGCCGCCTTCCTATTCCAGGAATCGATATGATTTTGATGTCTTCTGTTCTTATCTGGAAGGCCTGAACCCAATCTACGCTGACGCCTTCCTACTTCATGTTTTGACTTGCCCCATCCGACCGACGTGCACGCCCACGACTGGGTCCGAGGCCACTTGTCGTCCACGCGCAGCGCGGTGGGAGCCGATCTCCCCCGAGAGCTCGGGAGGCCGGCCCTCGGCAGCCGTTTCCCCCCGCGATGGCTCTCGGGTCGGGGGGTGGAACCAGGTTCGCGGACCCCTGGCCGGGCCGACCGCTTTTCTGTCACGCTGAGCAGACACACGCGCAGCAGCACAACACCAGAAAACCTCATCATCAGCATCATCATCATCGTCATCATCATCAGCATCATCATCACCCGTAGCCAGTTTGGCTCAAGTACACAATTTCTCGAAGTTGTGCAGGGCCTTGCAAGTTCGGGAGTCACTGACGCCTGCCCAGGCAGATTCTGGGAGCCTTTTCCACTTCGTGAGCGCAGCCGCTCACAAGCAGACCCCAGTAGTTCCAGCACTACATATTACACTTCGCGACGTCGGAAGCTACAATTTTGTCAGGAATGCAGAAGCGTCCCGCTGCGGTCAATGGCATTGGCGGCCAGCTCACCCAAGTGCAGGTTCAGCTGCCCGCCTTCAAGAAGAATATCAAGGCCGACATCAAGAAGCTCGACGATAGAGCTGCGGAGCTCAAGCAGCGAATGGACCGTATCGAATTTGCACCAGCATCGTCAGTTGCCTCTTCATATGCAGGCAACAAGCGCAGGATGCATCAACCTGGCACTGGCAGTGCTGGAGGGCGAGGGCGTGCTGCCACTATCGACCTCAGCGCTTCCGACTCACCCGACCAGTGCAAGGTATGAATGAACGGCTGGCCGCGCCCAGTCGTTCGAGCACACAGGGAGGCATGGCACAACACGTTGTCCTCTCGCTTGCCTGCAGAAAAAAAGATCTGGACGGATACGCATCACTCAGAGTTACATGATCAAATTTGAGACGGCCGAGGACGCCAAATCGTTCAGGGAGTTCATCGGCACATTCAGCTCCACGTGGATTGACCCGCGTGACAAGCGGGAATACCTGATAAAGTGCAGGCAAGACCTTCCTGATGATGTCAGGGAGCGCCAACGTCTGTTAGCACGCTATTACGACCCGATCAAGCAGCACCTCATCACGAACGGCCCCTGGTCCTCCACCATGCGCATGTCTGGCAGCGGCTTCCGCAACGAGTTTTGGACCATCAATGGCAAGGAGATGCGCCCCATCCAGAAAGCACGCATTGACAACCGGGGCCGCTTCATAGCCAGCCCCAATAAGCAGGAGGTCGTGGCTGTTGGCGCCGACGCTGACATGACCACGATGATTGTGGACAGCATTGCATCGCAACGGGAAGCTCGCCAGTCACGCGGACAATCGCAGGCCTGTTTTGGAGCAGCATTGCGCCGGCATGGCAGTGCTAGTGCTCGCCTTGCCTCTACACGATTAGCTAAGCGCAAGATTGTTACACGTTCCTCTCGTTCCCCTTCCGCCCCCTTTTTCTCCGTCTTCGCTGGCTTTGTATCATTGTTATTATACCTCCGGCGTTTCTATTTCTTCTTCAGTCTCCGAGTCTCCGACACGGCCTCCGTCTTCAGCATGAGTGACACCGAATGCGTTCCACAGTTTCCGTGCGACGCTGAGACCGATTTCAGAATCGTCTCCAGGAATGTCCATATCCTCTTCGCGGCGGTCGGGGGCGAAAGCGCACGACAGGCCAAAAAGTGACAGCGCTTTCTCTCCATTGCTCGTCAGGCGACTGCAATTGTGCTGCAGGTGACTCACGGGCACCAGGGTGGTCTTGAGTCACTTCGAGGTGATTGCCCTCTCTTTCATGGCCACGGCTCGTTCCCCCCCACGCACAGCGGTGGCATTATCTCGATAATTCGCAAGAGTCCCCCCGCAGACTTCAACGACATATCGGCACTTCCGCGTTCAGGCACGAATGGCACGTTGAACATCTACAACGTGCGCATCCCGCCGCAGTGCTCCAGCGATATCAAAGAGTTTGCTACGCAGCGCACTGCTAAACACACTCCAGCGCACGCGAAGGCTCTCTCATTAGTGGTTGGTGACGTCGACTGCATGTCGCCTGGTGATTCTCGATTCTATACCACGAATGCTGATCCCGCTCACAGGGTTCACTCTCTTGGCCAGTGCATCGACGGGCCATTTGCACGATTGTCTGAGATCCAACAAGGTTATCCCACAGAGAGAACAATACAATAATGAAAGATCGTCTCTGCTGCCAGAACTCACCAGATATTTCGCTCGGCTCCCACGGCAAAAAAGTGCGACTGGCACCCCTCCCCCGCTCTTCACGAACCCAGTGGCCACGTGCCACTTTGCATTCAGGTTCGGGCAGGCCGGTCCAGATCAGAAGCAACGCGGTTCGGATCGCTTCTCGGGCTGCTCGCAAACCTGCTTCTCAGGAGAATCTTACAGAAAGCACACGAGACCCCCCTGGCGATTG